CATGACTAATTGGTGCGCATCGCTGTCGTTAATTGGAGACAGATCTGACAGGTGGCGAAGCCGAGGGTTGCACACTGATGATACTTGTGTGCGATAACAAATCACCGCTTGACTATTATTGTACTGGGATTATATCACTGTTGAGGACGTTATAGTTTTGTCTACCTGCTCCATCTACACCGATAATGTTATGTTTAGGTGAAGATATTACTCTTTGGGTGGGGTGAAGGTAGTCTCGTTTCATTCACCACTGTTTCAATACAAACTTTATATAAGGGTCAAAGAAGAGCATTGGTTGGCTGGTTCGCCCTTGTTGGGACATATCAACACAGCGTACGATCTTTATTTATATACGGAAGCGCTAACTGCAAATATTTGGGTTGAAAGCCGGGCGGTAACTAACTCATTGAGCGCATGGCTGCAACAATTAATTAATAATCGTTCTTGGGGGAGGGAGTTCCCAATTTCCGTTGATTGATATAGCAGTTCGTGCAACTTCTCTCTATGGCCCATTTCATTCGCTCATTTTGCTCTCATTTCACTTGCCCCTCGCCGTTTCCGTTTCCTACTTTGGCTCGCGCGCACGCGCGTCTCTCTCTCTCTCTGTGACTGAAGTCCATGGATGGATTCATTTTCATCGTGTCTCCCGAAGGTAAAATACTGTACATCTCGGAGACAGCATCGGTCTTACTGGGATTGTCTCAGGTGAGTGCTGGTGGCGCCCAGTGTGTGTGTGATCAATTTGTGATTTGTTGCTCAGTCGCATCTCATGTGCGGAACGTGAGCGTGATGCGTAAGTTCTGTTTCCAGTCGCGAAACCAAGAATGCTATGGAGATAGTGACGGGGGTTTGCTTTGATCCGAGTGTTTTAGTAAAAGTATCAGTTTCATTCACTTCTATTCATTTAATCTCATAATTTCAAATGTTTCAATCAAAACGTTGTTTTCCCGTGTTTGCGATAAATCAAAACAATTAAAATAAAACATTGAGTAGAAAACAATGAATTCCACTGTGACCTCGAAATTCACAATTATCTGGTCCATAGTGCCAGTTTCACAAGTTGATGTTGGCCCGTCTGAAAGGCAGGTAAACCGTATGCGATCGAAGAAGGTGAAATTTAGGATGTGGCTGTTCGGGTTACATCTATACATCCCTGATGAACACATACTGAACTGAAGTCCCCCAATTCGGGGCCCAAGCTACAAGCAAATGTCATTTTCTATAGCTAAAAATGGAAAACCAGTCTCGTTGGACAACAGTCGATCGGTAATTGGTTTACATACGAGTCTTGCTTTTGACAATATTCTTCAGTCATGGTTTCTACTACCTGTGCATGTGATACTGGACGATCGAATGGGTTGCAATAGTTCGACATGGAATAATCTAGTTCAAATAGATTCAGTGATAAATTTTCAAGGTCATTGTTAAGTATGTCACGCCACATGATGAACCAGTTGCCGTGACCCAATTGACCAGCGACTTTAAACCCCGTGACTTTTGTCATTCATGCCGAAAACTATGACTGGATGTATTAGATTATTTGATTTTTCACTAATCCCCCCTCCTGGGTGTACCGGACAACGTCCACTTCACATCCAAATTCAGGTCGAAATGACTGGGAACGAGTTAGCCGAATATCTGCATCCGTTGGATCATGAGGAATTGAAACAACTGCTGACTATTCATCCAAATGAATTGACGGATGTCGCAGTGAATACTACCTCAATGCTCGGGAACGGGAATCCAAATGATGCTTTCACCACATCACAACCAGGTAAGCCGCGTTTCATCTAGGGTATAACCTGTCCCAAACTGAATGGAGTTGTCTGCACACACACA